AATCAAAACTTTGAAACTCTTCGCTGATAAATTTAGTTTTAGTCTCTTCAGTTAAAAATAAGTAATAAGGAGCAATAATTTTGAGTGAGGAGGAAGAACAATCTGAATTGTGAGTGTACCATACACACGGCGTACAATGTGAATGTCTAATTTATTAGGGTGGGTTACTTGTTCATGCTCACATCTGCAAAAATGCATGATTCATATATCCAGGGTTCCAGTTTCAAATCGAGGAATTGGTGAACCCATCCGATGTCATAAGCGTATGCATCAATAATAGGGATCCTACAACAGCCATAAGGTTCTTCCAATTTCCTTTTTCTCATTTTTTTTTTTTTCATTTTTCCTGCTTACCTTTAGAATAAAAAAAAATTGCTTCTTCTCTATGAGACTTACTGAGATTAAGAAGATGAAAAAGGTCATCCAAAGTGATAATGGAAACTCATAGTATGTGGACGGTGAAAATTTATGCTGATTGTAGCATTATGGGAACAATCTTGTGAGTATTTATCATGCTTAATATTTCATCAGAATATTGTAGCTTCTAAAATTTTTCAGAAGCTTGTACTTGGCCAGCATGGATATGAGGAGAGTATTATTTAATAGCATATTCTCATCTTTGGAACAGCCAATTACTAAGCTTTAAGCGGGGTTTTGCAGGTTTGCCCAAAATTTTCCTCATGCTGAAGTTTTATTTTGTTCAATAATTCTTCAATATGGAAAGAGAAGGGACATGGCATCAGCTCTAACTGCCTTTGAACTTTCCAAGAAACATACAAGTTCTCCGAATATGCATGCCTACCGTACAATCATAGATGTATGTGGTCTTTGTGGCAATTACTTGAAGTCAAGGACTATTTATGAGGTACTTCTCATAGATTGTAAGACATTATTGAATTGTTGTATATCTCATCAGGTGTTATTGATGTTTTATTTGGTCTATGAAAGCGATAGATATCATGTCTATCTACTTTCAGAAGGTATTACCTCTGAATTCATTCTCCTCTCACTGCCATTTCGTGAAACTGGACTTGCTCATTATCGAGGAAAGTTCAGTCGACACATACAGTTTCACATTTTTTTATACTTTTTCTTTGTTGCGTCTGCACTCAAGGAGATGCGAATATGTTTGCATCTGGTGATTGCATAATCTTTTCAAGTTATTGCTCTATTCATGCATTCCCAAATATCCTGGAGCCTGTACACTTCTTTCTGCAAGAATCCTGTTTGTTTACTCTTATAAGGCTTCTAACACCAAACTCATCTTCTAGTTCTTTCACAATGGTTTCTATAAAATGGATTGATTTTGAATGAAGAGCTCCTTGACTATATCATTTCATTTTTATTTTCATCAGATGACTTCTAACATCTATCAAAGTCTGCCTTTCTGGATTAGAATTGCATGAGTTATCCTTATATGCCTTTTTGGAGGTTAAATGAATGATAACTATCATCTGACATAGATATTACTACAGGAGTTACTCGCTGGAAATATCACCCCAAACATATATGTTTTCAACAGTCTTATGAACGTAAACTCTCATGATCTGAATTACACATTGGATATCTACAACAAAATGGAAGTAAGGTCTTTCATCCCTTGTTCTCGTCACACATTCTATTGCATCTAAAACATGCCATTTTGTCTCTCTTCCTAACTTCTGTACATGCAGGAGTCAATATTCGTGCTTCCATAATTTCTGTACCTTTTCTTGTCAAGTTAGACAAAAGATTATATCAGCATATTTACTCAAGTGAAAATGCCATTTACAGAAACTCGGCGTGGCTGCTGATATTACATCTCACAACATTGTTTTGAAGTCATGTTGTCTTGCTGGAAAAGTTAAACTCGCTCATGATGTCTATAGGCAGTTACGGAAGTTGGAAGCAGAGGGAACAATGAAATTGGATGTCTTTACATACAGCACAATAATTAAGGTAAATTTTAAGTTCGTATTTCAGCTGCTTAACCTAAGAAAGAAGGCCATGGATTGGCAAATGTACTTGGAAGTATATTTTGTTCGAATAAAGCATGTAATGTGATACTCTTGTTCGTTATGTAACTACAAACAGTATCTAAAAAAGATTACAACGTTCTTTTCCGTGAAACATTTGTGATGTTTTCTCCTTGCAGTATGCAGTACTAAAATAGTATAAAATAGCTCTTTCATTGTGCATTTTCTATGCACCCTACCAACTGATTAAATATCGTTGCAAAAAAGAGAAGGACTATAATTAACTTTAGGCGCATTTCATGCACAGGACTCGACTATTCTGCTGTATAAAAGTCCTTCACTGTGTCTTAAGTCCTACTGTTTGTTCTTTGGTTGGAAGCATTTTGAGTGAGTACGTTAAAAGACACCGACCCCTCCAATCAACATTCAGGTCTTTGCAGATGCCAAGAATTGGAAAATGGCCCTAGAAATCAAAGAGGATATGGTGTCTTCTGGTGTCATTCCCAACAAATTTACTTGGTCATCATTGATCAGCGCATGCGCAAATGCAGGTCTCACGGAACAAGCAATTAAATTGTTTGATGAAATGCTTCAAACCGGCTGTCAACCCAATTCACATTGCTTCAATACCGTTCTTCATGCCTGTGTTGAGTCTTGCCAATTTGACCACGCCTTTCGGCTATTTTACTCCTGGAAAGAAAAGGGTTTTCAACGAACCACGCCTAATGACGAGTTTAATGATAACTCAAAAAAAACCGTGAAAGCTCCACTTGGACCCACTATTTTAACATATAATATCTTGATGAAAGCGTGTGGCACTGATTATCACCGTGCCAAAGCTTTGATGGACGAGATGAAGACTTTGGGTCTTTCTCCGGATCAGATAAGCTGGTCAATATTGATTGATATTTGTGGAGGCTCAAGAAATGTAATGGGTGCTGTACAGGTAGACGAAATTCTGTTTTCTCTTTCATGAGAATGTGATAACTGAATTAACCTGCATGGTTGTCTTTCTAAGACCTCATGCCGAGAACATGTTGTAAGTTGGTTATCAATTATAGTTTATTTAATTATCAATTAAGCTTTTACTGAATTGTTAAATTCCAAGGGTGATTTACTGTAAAAGTTACTGCTGGAAAGCAAAAAAATCCAATAGCGCCATGAGAGAGTTATGTCTGTCGAGTGAATTCAATTGCTAAACGTTGGAAGTGAAACACAGAATCAATCTAATATTCGATCTTTTTCTTGCCTTGCAGACCTTGAGATCCATGCATGAGTCGGGTATTCGACCTGATGTTATAGCATATACCACAGCCATTCAGGTGCAAGTATTTTATCAGGGAAACAACCTAAACAAGTATTTATGCGATTATGCTGGTCATCTTGATTTACCTGATATACTCATTCGTTGTTTTTTCTTTTCAACTTCAGATCTGTGTAGAACATAAGAAGCCACAGCTTGCATTCATGTTATTTGATGAAATGCAGAAATACCGAATAAAACCAAATTTGGTGAGGTTATCATTATGACTCAGTTTTCTCTTTCTTTTCTTTTTCTTTTTTTTCCTGTTATTTTCACTCTTCCTTCCAGTTTTGTAGTTATCTTTTTGCTTTTTAATTCTGGGGTGCTGCAGGTACTTACAAGCAATTGCACTTCACTAAAAGTCAAAATTTGAAATTTCAGGTGACCTACAATACTCTTCTTAGAGCTCGTAGTGAATATGGTTCGCTGCCGGAAGTACAACAATGCCTTGCTATATATCAGCAAATGAGAAGAGTTGGGTATGCTTATAAGCATTATCTGTTATCTATTCACATCTTTCATAATTCATAGTATGAAGATAATGAGATGATTTACATACTCACAGTCTCACAACTCACAGACATATGTGTATGTATACTCTAATCTCCACTGGAACACCTTCTGTAGGTTCAACAAGCCCAATGATTACTATCTCAAGCAGCTAGTTGAGGAGTGGTGTGAAGGTGTGAAACACAATGAACATGTGAACAAAAAACAGTTTGGTTCTCGTTTAACAGATTATGGACGTCAGAACTTGTTGCTTGAGAAAGTTGCAGAACACCTGCAAGGTACGGCTGAAAGCCTTTCCATTGACCTTCAGGGTCTAACCAAGGTATGAACCTAATACAACCCCAAATGTTGCAAATCTTGTTCAACTTAAATGTAGAGTCCATGAAGTTGATCTGAAGTAATATAGACTCGATGAGAATTTTAAATGGATTGCCAAAATTTGTTGATGTCCTTCATTTACCTCCCACATTACAAGAAGATGGATTACATTCATTTTTTTCCCCCTCTCTGATGCCAATACAGGTAGAAGCACGGATAGTAGTTCTTGCGGTTCTGCGTATGATCAAAGAGAGATATATTGAAGGTGACAAAATCATACTCGTTGCGTTAATTGTGTGTATATTTTTGTCAAACCCTCTCCTGGACCGCAATTTCCATGATGTCTTGCCATAGTTTGTATAATTGCACGTAAGAAATTGTGACTAGATTGAGATGGCATCATTCCTTTGCTATTGGTCCATTGTCGTCATAGGCCACAAAGGCTACAAACAGGCAGTGCAGCCCAGCCCAGCTCATCCTTATCGCACTGCCCCCAAACACACACACACACACACATGCACATTAGGGCTGCAAACGATCTGAGCCGAGTCGAGCATTGGTCGTATCGAGCAAGATTGATTTTTTTTTTTTTTTACTTGCTCGAGCTCGAGCTCGATTTTTGACGCTCGAGATCGACGAAGACAATCGCTTGAGCTCAGCTCGAGATTGACTAAAATGACTAAAATCAAAATGCTCGACAATCTTGAGCTCGACTCGAGTTCAACTCGAATTTCAAGTAAAATTACCAGTAATTACATATATAAAATATTGATATATTTATATAGAAGGGGTATCTTAATTCACTACATTTCTCGAGCCGCTCGACCTTCCAAGACATATGCTCGAGATCAACTCGATAGCATGCTCGAGCTGCTCGAGCTCGGTTCGAATTCGGTCAATCTCGAGCTCGAGCCGAGCTTTGACTCGAGTCACGATTCGTTTGCAGCCCTGTTCACACTCAAACACCCAATAAATAAAGGATAATTAACAATATTTTCTGGCTTTGTCTGTCTACCAAAGATCTTAAGCTACTTTTCCCGATATATTTTATTTGTTATTGTTCCGCGTGAGCCCTCAACAGGTTGTTCAGAGCATCTACAATGCATTGGGTCTAGTCTTGCATATGTGGCACGTAAATAAACCCAAGTCTTGAATGACATGGATAAAACTATGTACAATTAACAAAATTCATTCCAATGCAAAGAGACTAGGTCTCTGCTTGGGTCTAAAATAGACTTAAGGGTAGACCGGGTCTCTTTTTCTGGCTGCCACATAAGCATGACCCAGTCTACTTTTATCTGCATTGGAGAATAATTTTTTTTAGACTGGGTCTATTTATTACGTGTCATATAACTTTTTGGGTTTGAACCCAAAGCATCCACGATGCTCTAATAACTGTAAACGTTTGTTAAAGAACCTTAGTTTATGTTCAAAACAAAATTTTGATTCACTTTTGCTTGCAGGGAACTCATTAAAAGACGACGTGATTATCATACTACAGGAAGTTGTCACTCATCCCAACAGAGATGAAAACGGAGTTCGAGAAGCCGTGACTCGACTGTTGGAGCATGATCTTGGGCTTCACGTGTTTGCAGTGGGTTCCTCCTCGACTCATTCTCGTTCAGAATCGGGAAACGTACATGAAAGAAGCTGGTCAAAACCAGGGTCTCGTATTAGGAGACCTATAGTTCTGCAAAGGCTTAAAGTTACTAGAGATTCCTTGCATGCCTGGTTGCTAAAAGGGACCCGATCGACTGCACGTTAACATGTCACGTCTGATGCGTATGCTATTCTTTCGGTAAGTAAAGTGCACATTAGATTAGCCATATGCACTAGTGACTCCCATGCTTCGGTAATATACATAATCTGATCTCGTTTGATTTCGAGTGTTGAACTTGAGTACTTGACGGGATGGGTTAAGGATCTTGTAATGGTGAACTCTACTTCATCTTGGATACAAGCGCCAGCACCAACCCTCTCCTGGACCGCAATTTCCATGATGTCTTGCCATAGTTTGTATAATTGCACATAAGAAATTGTGACTAGATTGAGATGGCATC